TTTTTATAGCAAGAAAATAAAAACTAAGATAATATCCAAAATATGTAAAGAGACTTTATAAGCCAAGAACAAAGCTATAATATCTCAATAGAAAAATAAAACAAATATATGAACAGAAAACTATTAGAAAAACAATGGTTTGAGTGTGAAATGCCCCCCATAGGCTTATGGGTTTGAGAACTTGGTCCCCAGCTGGCAGCACTATTTTGGGAGGATGCGAAACCCTGTGAATTCAGGGCATAACTGTAGCCCCAGTAGGCAGGTTTTGAAGATTATATCTGCCTCGTTTCAACTTCAACTCCCTGCTTCCTGATCCTTCAGGATGTGGACAAGCCATGCCTCAAGATACTGCCATCAAGTACAGAACTGCCCAAGTTGTCACATCCTCTTCACCATGATGGACTACTGTCCCCTGACATTAAACCGTAAGCTGCTTCCATTAGGCATTCTGTAATAGCAACAAGAAATGTAACTACACAAAGCATGAAAACACTTAACGTTTCTAAAAATATAGAGGTTGGAGAGATAGCTCAGTGGTTAAAAGTACATACTGAGCCAGGTGCGGTAGTCCAGGCCTTTAATCCCAGCACTTGAGAGGCAAAGGCAGGCAAATCTCTGAGTTCCAGGCCAGCCAGGTCTGCATGGTGAGACCCTGTTTCAAAAACAAAGTACACAGAGCCCAAACTGTTTTTGCAGAGGACCCAAGCTCTGCTCCTAGCACCCATGTTGTGTGGCTCACAACCATCTGTAACTCCAGTTCCAGGGACTCTGACACTGTCTTCTAGATGCCACAGGCACATGCAATCATGTGCACATACCCACACAGACACACATACACATAAAATTAAAGATAAAATCTTAATATATAAATTATGAGTTTTATCAAATTAAAAATTCATCGAAAGCTATAAATCTCAGGCAGAAAGCAGAAAATGGGCACTTGTCACTAATTTTGTAGAACTTTTCTAGAAGGTACTTTGGCAATACCTTTATGTTTCTATGTGTTGACATGGAAATTTCATGTTTGGAAATATATATGAAGAAAATAAAGTATATGGGCAAAATTTTGATAGGTGTTTGTGACTTGAAGATCTACAGATTGAAAACATTTTTATCACACTGCCACAAAAGGGAATGCCATCATGTAGCCATAGAAATAGTGGTGCTAAGTAATATTTAGTGACAGGGAAAATAACTTTTATTTACTCAGAAGAAAATGATTTAAAGATTTAAAAATGATATGTACAATACCACTTTGTAAATATCCTATCAATAATATCTGAGCCATGTTTACCTTTGGGCATCTGGGGCTGTGAACACTACCCCCCCCCCAACACACACACTTCATACCTTTCCCTCCTGCTTCCTTTAGTTCACCTGCATTTTCTGATTAGTCTTTTTGAGGGTTTTTTTTTTTTTTTTTCTGAGACAGTTTCTCATACTATAATTTACCTGGGCCTGGAATTTCTTAAGGAATTTTTAACTATTCCTTAACAAACACATCCTTCTTTTGAAATAAGAAAAAATTGCTTTAAAATGGACAAGAAAAGATATGTATATGTATCTCTTGTGTACATTTTAATGAACTTGTATGTTATAGAACAAAAGAAAAACTGCAAAGATGTCAGAAAACAAATGGAAAAATCCAGAACAAGAGAGGCACACAGGCATGTAAACATTTCTTGGCTGTGCTATGGTAAACAGAAGTCTGATCTGAAAACAGCAAGTCTGTACTACTCAAACTAGCCTGATTAAAAATGGAGAGTTTATATGAAGACAGCCATCAGATCAGCCATTGCGTAGAGAGGAAGGGGTCAGCGGCCTGAAACCACTTCCTGAGTCCTTCTGATGCACTGGGTACAGCCTGGCCACAGGTGCTGACCCAGGGGTTCCACCCTGGTCCTTGCTGCTCAGAGGCTGTGGTGACAGGGAAGCCCTTCACATCTGCAGCCAACAGGAATGTGTTCCCTCCTGTTCAGTGCCCCTCTGTGCCCAAGTCGGGTCATCACAGGGCTTTGTGGCACATAGCCACTCTGCCTGCCATCCTAGGGGCATGTCATTTGGATCCTGAGGCCTATAGATCTGAACCAGGGAAGGGAGGAAGGTGGGATTCTGAGTGTCTCGGGGTGTGACCCATCTCTTCCACCCATGCTCCGTTCTTCAGAGCATGCATGAGGCTCACCTTAGCTCCAGGGGGAACTGGGAAAACCATGGGCACATTGGGCCACCTCCCCATGTTACTGCTCTAGCCTTTGTCAGGAGTCAGAGAGGGCTGGGGCTGAAGACCTATCTGCCTGTGTCTGTTTATCCAAAAACTGCAACATCATAAGCCTGTCATTGGCCAGCCAGGATGTCTGGCTTCCCTTTTCCGTTTGCTGATCTGATAGGCTTGCTGCGTATTGAAGCTGTCTGCTCTCATTCTTTTGTAACAAGGAAGCTTGAAGCTTGAATAATAATAGATTGCAAGGGCTAACACTGAAGCGACTGGCTCACTATTCCTCGCCAGTGGGAAATACAAAAGAACAAAAATGCATTTTGATTTAAGAATAGATTTGCCATAGCATGCAGTCGGTTAAAACTCTTCCAGCCTCTGGCATCAAACTCCTCACACCTTTCCACTTTTTCACAGAACAGTAGGGGTGACCAGGCCTCCTTCAGGCCTGGGCCCCAGCAGGCACAATGGAGCTGTCAGCTCAGTCCTCCCTGCTGTGCCCAGCCAATTTGCCTGAACTTGAAGCTGGAGCACTGGCCTCACCGAGTGCGGTCCCCAGTCCAGCCTTCTCTGCCTTTTCTATCACTGCGGCTTTAGGCAGAGCTGTGGCAAGGGCCTGTTTAATTCCCAATTGTACAGAGCAGCTGATCAGTGTCTGCCCAGCTTCTGGAACAAAGGATGCATTGCGGACCTTCTTGCTTGCTTGCTTCATTGAAAATTTAACAGATGTCAATTGTGACACATAAACACTTTCTCCCTAGGCGAGGGATTAAGGCAAATTTCATTTTCTGCTTGGCACGAAAGCCACGCTATATTGTATATTGAAAGGCCTTTTTTTTTGTTGTTAGAAAAGAAAGGGGCAAAGAAAGGGGAAAATCATTTTGACTTAAAAGCCAGTTATAACGAAAGAAAACCAGTCTCCACAAAGGCATTGTCCTGGACCGCTTTGCTGGCTTAAGGCGCCACCTAATGGGAAGACTGAAGATTGCACAGGGCTGTGGGGTCCCCTTGGGCAGGGTCATGGGGCTGAATCCCAGTGGCTTGGGGCTGGGAGGGCATTTCCTGTGGGATGAGGTGCTGCCCTTATGTTCTAAATGGTCAAGTAATCTGATGCAGGTCACTCCCCCCTCTCCGCTCCAAGATCCTCAGCTAAATGAAGTTGTGTTTTATCTTTCTTTTAGATTTTTTTAACATTTTTCTCGTATATGGATGCTTGAGTACATGCACGTGTGTATAGGCGTGTGCGTGCAGGTCAGAGGGCAATATACTGGTTGTTCTTCTACCATGTTGGTCCCTGGGATCCAGGACAGGCTGTCTGGCTTGGTGGCAAGCACTTTCATGTGCAGAGTCATGTAGCTGGCAGATTTTCTGTTTATTTTTGAGCCAAGATCTTATGTAGCTCACCAGGCTGACCTTAAACCCCTTATGTAGCCAAGACGACCTTGAACTTCTGACCCTCTAGCCTCCACCTCCACTATGCTGGGATTACAAGTGTTTCCAACCACATCTGGTTTATGCAGTGCTGGGAATCAAACCCGGGGCTTTGCATATGCTAGGCACTCTACCAGCCGAACTACACCCCACCGTTCTTGTGCCTTTGTGAGGTTGAGAGGGGGAGAAACCAGACATTTGAAAATGGGAACATCCGGTCACAAGCACCAAGGCATTTAGTTTTCTTTTCTGCTTCTTGTGCAACAGACTTGGGTTCAGAGGCATGCTCCTCAGTGTTTGGGAAAGTTGCAGCAGGGTAGATGGAAGTTGTCCTTGTAGTTGTGGAGGTGAAGGGAAACTGCGGGGACTGTGGTGGAATGGACAACACTCATTTCTCAAGAGGACCCTTAGCTGCCAATGACCAGGAAACACAGCCAAGTTTTCTCATTTGCCAAAGGAGACCAACTGCCCTGAGGGCACCCCCTGCCAAGTGCCACCCAGATACTTCAAAACTGGGGGGTTGGGGGTGTGGCTGAAAGATGCCAGTGGGACTGGGTCCTTCTATAGATATGGAAGGAGATGTGGTGCTTGGACCTCAGTGCTCCAAGTCTGGGGGAAGAACATGGGAATCCAGTAACAAGAATGAGGGAGGTCTGAAATCATCATTATCCTGGCATCGATGGGAGAGGCTCAGCCAGATGGAGCCTGGGTCCTCCCCTCCTGTCCTCCATTCCCTGCCCTACATCTCCTGTCTGTCTCTCCCATCCCCGAAGCTTCCAGGCTCCTCTGCCGAGAACCCCCAAGAGCCACAGTCAGACCCTTCCGGTACTGCCTACTGCCTCCTCAGTAGTCACAGGATGTGGGGGAAGCCTCCCTGGCTTCTGTACTACTCAGAAATGACCATAGTTAGGGATGAATCTAGATGATACACCTAAAGCATCTGCATCTTTTCCCACAGCTGATCCACAAGCAAACACTGCCAGCCCTGCCCCAACACATCCCAACCTGTGCTGCTCCTCTGGAGCCTGGCTCTCCCTGGGTTACTGCTGTGACCTTCCAGAATGGGCCTTGGGCCTCTGAAGGGCCTAATGCATGCTAGACAAGTACTCTACCAATGAGCTACATTCCTAGCCTTAAAAACAAAATACTTTTATATTGAGACATGGTCTCACTAAATTGTCCAGGCTGACCTTGAACAGGAGATCCTCCTGCCTCAGCTCCTGAGTAGGTGGGACTCCAGGCCTGTGCCACTATGCCCCTCCATGCTTGTCTTAAACACTGCTGAGAAGCCTTGGCACATGACGGTGCTTGATGCATACCCGCTGAATAAATGGTAGGCTAAAGGAGCGGATGATCCTTTAGTCTATGAACGCTCCAGATTTATGTGTCTTCTTTGTGCAGGGTACATGCTAATCTCTGAATTGTTCCAATTTTGGTACGTGTGCTGCCGAAGCAAGCGCCCCACACTGTTCTTTCAGGACTAAAGCCAGACCAGTCCCGAAGCACACATTATTTGCTCGGCATGTATTTAGCCTCTGTCAAGTCTGGATGACCTCCTTGGGTTTTCTTGGACTTCCTTGCTGTTTTGTTTTGAGCAGCGTCTCTCTGTAGCCCCAGTTGGCTTGCTTGAAATCTGGTGGGAGGGCTATAAGAGGGTACAGATGCGGGAGGGGGCCTAAATATGATCAAAATATATTGCATAAAATTTGCAAAACTTCAATAAAAAATGAGCACACGGGACTAGAGAGATGGCTCAGTGGTTAAGAGCACTGACTGCTCTTGCAGAGGGCCGGGCCTGGATTCCCAGCACCCACATGGCAGCTATGAACTGTCCTTTTTCCGGGGGAATCCGAAGCCCTCTTCTGACCTCCGCGGCATTGCACGACATGGGTGAACTCATGTACATGCAGGCAATACACTCTTACACATAAAATAAAAATAATAAATAAAATATATTAAAAATGAGCACATGCAATTTGCAGTCACATTCTAACTGGGTTTACAAGAAGGAGGAGGAGGAAGAGGAGGAAGAGGAGGGGGAGGAGGAAGAGAACAAAGAGGAGGAGGAGGAGGAAGATTAGAGAGCCAGAGAGGTGGTTCAGTGGGCAAAGTGTCTACATGCAAGAGGATCTGTGTTTAAATCCCCAGCTATCAAGACAGAAGCCCAGGGGAATAGCCAGCTGGTCTTGCCAAATTGGCAAGCTCCAGGCTCAGAAAAAATAAGAGAATGATAAAGATGTTTGACATTGACCTCTGACCTCTGCATGCATGCACACGAACACTTACAAATCATGCAACACATACACCCACACGTGTGCGCACGCAAATGTTGGGACAGTGGGAGAAACTTAGGTCTGAGGATTAGACTGCGGAGTTGAGTCAATGAAATGTTCTTGATTTGCGGAGCAATACTGTAGCCCCACAAAAGGCTGTGCTTATTTGTAGGAAATGAAAGCTAAAATATTTGGAGATGGCTCTGCAGTTCAATAGTTTAGTCTTTAAAAGTATGATTAGCAAAATACATTATATGCGTGTATGAAATTCTCAAACAATAAAAAAGAAAATAAAAATATACTGCACTTTTACCTTTCCTATGAGTTCCTAGTTTCTTACTGTTGACTTTCTAAATCAGAGGTTAGGAGCTGGTGAAGCTTTGCCTGCATGTATGTCAGTGTACCCATGCCTGTGGAGGTCAGAAGAGGTGTCGGATCCCCTGGAACTGGAGTTACTGATGGTTGTTAGCTGCTCTGTGGGTGCTGGGAGCTGAACCAGGGTCCTCTACAAGAGCAGCCAGTGCTCTTAGCCACTGAACCATCTTTCCAGCGGCCCCTCCCTTCCAAATAATATTTTTGTTTTTAAAGAAGAAGGCCAGGAAAACTGCAGAGAAGCCTCACCCCCCCCCCCCACCCCCCATGGCAGGCCTCTGTAGAAGTCCCAGCTTCCTCAGAACCCTCTACTGCCCCCACTGGGAAACTGTCATAATAAGCAAATTTACAGCTGATGCAAATGGAATTTTGCCATAGAACTGTTAGCCCTGCTGTTACACAGCTACAACAAGCAGCTTTTCCGTCAAAATAAATAGAGGTGACTTTCACCTGCCCCCAAGGCAGAATAATAGTAATTTTATCTTTCCGCTAGAAACAACCACAGTGAAAAAAATATATGACTTTTAAGACACTTGACAGGTCGCAGTGAAGAACAGGGATCCCTAGGAAATGGATATGAGCAGAGTCCCACAATTACCCCTGCTTACTTCCTTCATTCACTTTTCAGGCTACAGCATGGGGAGGGGAAACTGAGGTCGAGCACAGAAACTCCCCGGAGGCAAAGTTCAGAGTCTCGGAAATTAAAGGAGCCAGTGATGGAGGCAGAGTACCAGGGAGCACGGAACTGCACACGGAGAGTCCCAAAGATTTGAAAAGGGTTCAACAGTGTTGTTGAGCACAGGCCCGTGAAGAGCTAGGAGAGGCAGAGAAAGGCCCACCTGTGCAGTTTGGCATCTGCACTTCCCTAAACGAGTTAGAGTTTCTGTTGGGCTATGAAAGCTTTTGGAATTAGTGGTGGTGATTGCACAACACCATGAATGTAGTTACTACCACTGAGCTGTACACTTAAAACAGTGAGGATGGGCCAGGCATGGTGGTGCACACCTATGATCCCAGAACCTGGGAGGATGAGGCAGGAGCATTTCAAATTCAAGGACAACCTGCGCTCCATAGTGAGACTGTCTCAACAAACCAAAGTTAAAGTGGTAAATATATAATCTTATAAAAATTATGACATAAGAGATGATTGGCCTATTAAACAAAACAAGAAAAACAAGGTATTACAGTGGTTATCTATTGCACTAACTTTCCCTTGGAAGATGTTACTAAATCTACTTACCTCAGATGGAGCACTAATGTCAGACCAAAATTAGAGTTGTACCCAAGTCCAACCTGGTGAATGAATAGAATGTTTTGGGCTTACTTATAGGAGCATGGGGAAGGGTCACTTACAGGACAGAGGTGATCCCCAAACAGCTTTGTCACCACAAAGCCCCACCCCATCATGGATGATGACACCATAGAAGCTGTGTCATGGATGCCCCCTTTCAGTTAACCTTCCATTTCCTATCTACTCTAGCATCTCCTAAAAAAAACTTGCAGCTGGAGAGAGGTGGAGGGAGTAATGGCTGGAATCCCGAGTGAGGGTCCAGTGATCTTCCCCCACTCCTTTTATTAAGGCATGTTGACAGCTCCATCATCATTACTTCAGACCTAGCTATCACTGTATTGTTTATTCTGTTGTCATGTCACTGTTATCTCTACTCCAAGATGGTGATGGACTGATTTTGTTATTCCCATCAGCAAAACCCATACTGCAACATTATCACGTTTGTTTTGTTTTGTTTTGTTTGAGGCAGGTTCTCCCTGTAGCCCCAGCTGTCCTGGAACTTGCTATGTAAACCAGGCTGGCCTTAAACTCACAGAGATCTGCCTGCCTCTGCCTCCCAAGTGCTGGGATTAAAGGCGTGCACCACCACACCCGGCCACATGTTTAAATTTTAAAAACTTTTTTTAAAGTAACATAGAGACCCAGGGAGAGCAGCAGAAGTACGCTAATGAAAGGTTCTCTCATGTCATCTGTGAAGTGTCCTGAGTCATGCAGAAAGATAAAGATGTGTTGAAAGAAAAACTGAGGCCAGTTACATTTAACAAAGTTTACAAAAAACAGGTTCTTGGAACCAGGCAGCCACGGGCTGAAGGTTTGTAATATTTGCCGCACCACTTGTGAAGATTTTATGTATAGCCTGTAAAGGCAGCAATATATAGAAACAACCTGATATAGAGAAACAGCCTGATTGGTTGCATGTGGGCATGGTCTAAACAGCTGGCAGCCTGTGACTGACTGATTCTCAGCTGTTGTGATTGGCTGAAACAAGTTGCTTAATTACAAAGTTAGGGAACAATGTGAATACATACCAAGTATTGAGTTGCTATACACTTCTCTAAGTTACTCCATATTGTGTAAAACTGATTTTTCAGGCTCTTCCATGCCCTGAGAGGCTCCATTTTACAAGAAGCTTTTGATTCCATTTTGAGGGTGAAAGATAATTGAACTTCTGGGTAGACAAATAAACAGCAGCATCTGCCAGGCACCACCCATGCAGCACAGACTGATAAATGTATAGGTATGCTCAGGAATAAGCCATTTATCAGGGTGAATTGAAACTGTAGCGGCACATGGGCATATTAAACTTGTATCAGGGAAACCAGGCCCAAGAACTTATCAGACATGCCAGACCAAGGAAAAGGTGTAATTCACCTGGACCCCATAAAGTGGTGGACTCCTAGCACTATGATGACGATGGTCCCACACCAACCTTATCATCAGAGTCCTGATATGTGTGTGAAGGACTCATAAGGCAGAAAACTCCTGACTGTCCCTGGGGCTTCAGTTTAGTTCAGTCCCACACTGTTGATGAAGCCAACTAGACTGCTCATCCATCTGGTCCTGACCCGATGCTTCCTGATCCAATTCAGTTCTGCCTTTTTGTCTTTGCAGCTGACTAATCTTCACTTTCACACCTGAGCCTCCCATGGCCTGATCTCTACAGCAACAGCTTCTTCTGGAGGTTAGTCTGGGTTCGTTATCTTAAATACTTAGATCCCTGAGCCCACTTCTAAACCTCTTGATCTCTGCTGTAAGTGTCTTTAATTTTTGTACAGATATTTTTACTATGTGTTGTGTGATATGTGATGTGAGTTAATGTTAGTAATTAAGATTGGAATAAAGGCTGGGTGTGGCGGTACATGCCTTTAATCACAGCAGTCAGGAGGCAAATCTCTATGAGACTGAGGTTAACCTGATCTACACAGTGAGTTCCAGACTAGCTGGAACTATAAGGAGACCCTGTCTGAAAGGAAACAAAACGAAATACAAAAGATTGGAATAAAAGAGCCTGTATTCCCCTTGTCTAGATTACTGAGGCAGTGGCATGTTGCAGCCATTGAAGCTTTTAAACCTTGTTCAATAAATTCTGACATTGAGGAAAAATACAAATGTGTTTGCCTATGTTTGTGGCATGGTGACACCAAACTAAAATAGTTAACTCTGTACAAAATTTGCTTTGGGCCAAATTTTATCACCCATGTATAGATTCAAGTTTAGGCCAAACTTACAGAAGTTTAACAGGTGAATGTGCCCAGTAAAATTCTAAAACAAAGAGTTAAAGCTAATAAGTCTATAAAGGAGCTAAAACAGAAAGAAAAATAGGAGCTGGAGAGATGGCTCCGTGGTTAAGAACACTTGCTGTTCTTCCAGAGGGCCTGGGGTCAATTCCCAGCACCCACGTGGTGACTAACAACTATCCATAACTCCAGTTCTAGGGGACCTGACACCCTCTTCTGGCATCTGTGGTCATTGCACACATGTGGTGTACTTACATACATACAAGCAAAACACTCAAACAAATAAA